TATATATATATATATATATATATATATACAATATATATATATATATATATAAGTTGCATACTTACAAATTACCGTAAGTAATTTGTAAGCTCATTTCTCGTGTTATAATAATAAAGTTATGATATTAATACGATTAACCTTTTTTCGAAATCGATAGAGGAAAGCAAACACATAATTCTACACGTTATAGAATATAGTCAAATGATCAGTTTTGGTATCAAATTAATATATAATAAATATAACATATGCTATTTTCTATCTCAAATGCGCGTATTTTACTTCTTCCAGATACGTTCACTTTATCAAGGATATATGCAAATTTTTTTTTTTTCTTTTTAACTTTAATCACTTTCTCTGTCGTTTCGAGTTAAATCCATAAGCATCTGTGATAGTTAGATAACAGCGAAAATTATAAGTTTTCTAATTTATTGGAAATCATTGTTTACTTATCATATTACATTTAATAACGATTGTACGGAGTCTTATTTGTAAGATTTGAGCATATGTAATAAATCTTATATTTTTAAAGCGTCATCGTTACTTCAATATCCTGATTGGTCACGTGTACAATATCAATAGGAAGAATTTCTAGCTACGATTTAGCTCGCAAATTATTCTCTGCACGTCTGTAAAATTAGAGCAATTCGAACGCGAATGATACGAACTAAGCGAAGGGCGCATTATCGTATGTAGTTACCAACAGCGCGGCCAATTTTAGATTTCCTATGATTTCGTTGCTTCTTAATTTAACTTAATCAGATGCAGACTAAACAAACGTCAAAAGTGAAAAAATGCAAATAAACGTCACGTTTCAAAATGCAATTTATGTCCTCCTTTTTGTATAATTTCACTCAACGATAATCCATGATATTAAAAAAGATATCTAAAAAAAAAAAAAAAAAAAAAACGAAAATTAATAGATAAAATAAAATCAGGAAGAGAAAGTAAGATGTTTAAAGAGATGCAAAGAGAATTTGTTTACTTCCCGTTTTCGACTCGAATCCACTTAATGGTAGGTAAGTAACTTAACTTTCCCAGCCTGTTCCCCACTCCTCCTCTCTGAACTTTTTTTACATTGCAGTTGCAGACCGCTGCCCGATCTTCGAAACTCCGCTACTTGATCTCAGTCTGGTGCGCACCGCCACTGAGTGAGGGTGTCAACGTTTGTTTTATTCGAAACGACAAACCGACCTAGAGAGATCAACAGGTAAGATAGAATCAATTTTTCTCAAGCTCTGGAAATTCGAATACGATTGTATATATACAATATCGACGAGGTTTGAGACTCTATTAATATTTAATTGAGTAAAGACTAATTTTTTTCTTTATAGCTCACGTTGAGATCAAGTATATGCACATATGTACACTATACCACGTTAATCGTTATCAAATCAAACGATTAGATCGAAATAGATAATTTAAATTGTCGAAGAGAAAGAGAGAGAGAATATTTAGAACGTTTTCGAGACAAATAAAATTAGTCTCGACTCACTAACTTCCACACTCCATCGAACGCGTTAATTAACTTACTATACCTGAATATATAGATAAGAAGACCAATGACGTAATGACACACCACGTTTACTGCGACGTATTACCAAATCGAATGAACATATTGTTCGAAAAATCGTGCGAAACGCATCCCCAGCGAAGCGAAAACTTGGATTATTATTTTCCCGGGGCAAAAAATCCAAGCCTTTGATTCGTATCGCGTTGCTGGGTAACTGCGGATACTCGAAGAATTGTGGGAACATTGGCGGAGTAAAAGTAAAGGAGCTGCGTCGGTTTCGCAAGTCGGAAATTCGTACACGCGGTGGTTGGTCTGACGTAATAAAACTCGTTACGAGTCGTTGCGTGTTCAATGGTCCATATTGCGCGTTATTTCTCAAACGAAGCGAGTATCGATCTCGCTGATTTAGCTATTCCCGTTGAATTATCGCAAGAATTTTTCGATTCACGAATCATAACAAGTAGGAACATCAGCGCGGTTGGAAAAAGAAACCTTGGCCCGATGTTTCCGCGTTTCTTGCAGTTATTAATAAAAGCCCGTTTCTGTGTACACCGCGCTTCTTCGGCGACGATCTCACGGCTTGTAATCAGTCGACGGATCTCCAGTCGAGCTAATTAGAAACTTATGAAGAAGAGGTTTCTGTTGGCGGATTTCTGTTCTTAAAAGCGAACAGAAGAGATTGATTATCGATAAATCTGAAAATAATCAAACCATCGTTGCATTGTGCGTATGCATATTTTTTATCTGCGGTTTCAATATCGTCCATTCTTTCAATTATTTTTAATTAGTTTAAACGAATCCGCAATAGATCATCGTGCAATATTAAATGTTTCATGGTAAAAAAAAAAAAGATACAAGAAAAAATCTCAACTATATTATAGAAACAATTAAAAGCAAAGAAATATAAAAGTGAAATAAAAATGCTCATAAATAGATCATAAAAAATTCAAATCAACAAATATGATACATGTATAAACAATTAAACGAAAAACGTAAGAATATATATTGTTTATATTTAACTTCAAAGTTAGTAACGACAACAAGTGAAAAGATAGACAAATTAACGCGAAAAGTAAGTCCGCCTCGAAAAGCAGGCCTGGGTGCCAAAATGGCTCGAGCCAGGTGTGCATTTTTGAGGCTGCATATCGTGACACAAGCCGTTGTTGTTGCATGACGCGAATCGTTACCGAGTCCTTGGTGAAGCTTGATTTACCACCGTGCCCGAGAGAAATCGATTGTACGCGATATCGCCTTTTAAGCCCGATGAACGGGGAAGACTTAGGATATGTAACGGACGAAAACTGCAGCGAAGCAATGTATCGTAACGGTCGTGTCGGTTTATCGTCGATTGCGTTGCGGATCGAGCACGTGCCAGTCGCTTTGCCAGCACCAAGTGTGCAACGTAAATGGCTTTCGCGATGCGTGCACGTTGCGACCGGAAAAACAATTTGATCGTTCATTCGAACTAGTTAACTAGGAGGAACTGTAGTAATCCTGCTGTTCGATTCTATTCTCGTATAATTTGCATATTATTTCAATTCTCTTTATTCAAATTACGATTCAATTTTTTTTCTTTCTCTTTTCTTTTGTAAATTTGAATATTTAAAACCTGTTCATTTATGACACGAATTTTTTTTCGAAGAAATATGAAAGAAAAAGTCTTTGACTTTTTTGCTTGTTTGGATTTCGATTTTTTTATTATTTTCTACGCTCGCCTTTCAAAAATTAATAAAACCGCTTCTTCGAATTTTTTTCGAACGCGTCGATCACTTCTGTTTTCGTTATTTCCTCTCGAAGCGAGGCTATTGTGAACGTGGCTTAACACTTGGACGAGAAGAAAGCCGAGTTACAAGAAGGGTACTAGCGAGCAGCGAGAACACGAAGCAATTACTTTGCCCCTCCGTTTAAATCGTTCGAGGAGTTTCGTTATTACCTTTTTTGCGGGCATTAAAGTCGGTCGCCTTTATTGGGCGCATACGGTAAGCCTCTCTTTTTCCCACGATTATTCCATCTTCGATCGATAAATCTTCCATTTTCTATGCAATCGTTGCATCAACGATCGTTCATCGGTTCATCATTCCTCCCCTTCGATCGATTTATTATTTTTCCCTTCCCTTCTGAATATAGTCCCCAAAGCAAAATTATCCACCATTTAAATCGGTCGATCGCTCGAAGAGAATCGAGAGATAGATTTCGGTTTCTTTCGAAAGATTTATCCATCCGTTGGTTGTGCAACATGATGAACATATGGATCGGCAATCCGGAGCAATATTTCCTCGGCAAGAGGAGTAAGGAACCGGCGGCGAAGATCATCGGCTCGAGGGCAATGGAGCACGCCGATCTGCCTAACGTGGAACGATTGATAAGGCCGGAAACGTATGAAATTTTCGGGGACTTGAACATCGAACGTATCTTGTAATGTCTCGCCTGAGTTGTATTGTACCCGTGTGAATCGTACGAAAAATATCTGAAAAAATACAGAAGGAGGTAACGGGAAGGGGGGGTGGGGGACGTTGATAATTTGCAGCGAAACCAGTTGTCACTCGATGGTGCAGTGGAACGAGAGAGGCGAGGTCGTTTCGGGCATCTGCATCTGCAATTATCCGAACGTGCCGTCGGTGATTCCGGAAGATTGGGTAAATTGGTTGTACGCGTTGTACAGGTAAACAGAGTGGACACTTGTTTGGCTCGAACACTTTGGGGGAAAAGGAGGAGAGAGATGTTTGCTTATCGGGATTTCGTTTGAAAAAGGCCGCAACAAGTGTCGGAAAAGAACTCGATGTTCGTGCACATGCTCGTCTGGGACAGCCGATACACCGGCCACTTCTTCGAAAAACTCCTGTGCGGATTGTTCGATGTCACCTCGTATTTGGAATACGTACTCATCGTGATTCCTCCTCGGATCATTCTCAGTGAGCCTATATATATATAGATAGGGATAGATGGATAGATCGATCTCTCGGTTATTCATCGTTCATTATCGTTATTATTATTACAGACGAGAATATTATTTTCGAGAAACAGATGATCAGGATTCCGTTAAATTCTGAGAATGACCATCCCTCGTACCAGTCCGTGTACATGAGCGATCGTTTTCTGAAAAAGCCAAGGTTGAAAATTCGCCGCGTAGTGTAAGTTTCTTTTTAAACGAGCGATTTTTTTTTCTATTAATTTATAACGATCAAAGGATCGTTAAATAATTTTGATCGGAAAATTAACGATCAAAATAACGATCCTTGAATCGTTGTAGTGCATTTTCGGAGAGAGAAAAAAAAAATATCGTGGAAAAGTTTGAATTTATTTTTCATTCATATTTATCATTTCCGTTCCATTTTCTCGATCACGCGACAGGGAAGAGGATAACGACGACGTGGTGTCGATCATCGACGCCGAAACGCCTCTGTTGAAAGAGTTTTACGGTGAATTTTACGTGAGCGAGATGGTTCGTAACCCCGACGGTTGTCGAAAATTGATCATCTCCGAGGAGGACGACAGGGCAACCGGTGTGATGTTCATTAACAAGAACATAGACGTGGACACACTGATGAAGAATTTCCAGTTGGTACCGTACAACGGCCTTAAAAAACCCCACAAGAAAGATCTACTCCCGGAGGAATATATGAGGCCTGACAGCGAGACGTTCTTCTCCTTTTTCACAAAGAAATCTTGGGATATTGATTCGGAAGGGTTCGGATAACAGTATTTATAGGCAATTTGTCTTCTGGTAGATCTATCCACTAGCCCCACTTTTGGTAATATTCGAACCGCATTAGATCCTCCGTGATAATTTCTCCGGAAGAAAGCGTGGAAGAGATCGTAGAACAGGCAGAACAACCGGTGGAAATAAAAGATGAAAAGATGGATCCGTCGACGATAAGTTTCATCAATGATCTTGCAGGGATAACTCGTCAATTTAGCATGTACTACGAGTCGAAAATGGAGTCGAGCGCGTTCGTCGAGTCGTTGTTCCACGNTTCCACGTGAGTTCATAAAGAAAGAAGAAGAAAAAGAGAAGGAGAATGAT